TTCAATACAATAAACAAATATGTTCCGTAAATTTAACTTTCTTTGTGAGTAAATCTTTATTTTAACGAGGAATCGAATATTTGTTAACATTTTGAGGTGAAAGTTACATATATTAGTCGGGAAAAAATTAATGCATTATTTTTTTTTTTTGTCTACAGTAACAAAAAAAATGAGAGAGAAACCTTGACATCGATTCGAATTCCTAAGAAAAATTGTGTTCATCTTGTAATCTTTTATAATTTTATGTAAATATTCATCAACATGACCAATTAGGAAGAAATTGGATGTCTCTGAGTATTTCTAAAATAAACTGATCATTATTCATTCTATAAAAGGATAAGGTATACTGTATTTTACTTCATGATCATTCCTTTTTACGAAGACAGAAATCGGACATCTCCAAGCATTTCCAAAACAAACCAACAAATGTTCGTCTTATAATTGCTCAAGATTCATTCTGGCCATTAAGTCGAAGCAGCGCAGTAATCCTGGCCATTTAAGGTGGACAAGACAAACTGAGGGTTGTGTGGTGAGGGTCGGGGAGGGAGGCCGGGTGAGGTGAGGTGTTTGCTGGCGCGCGCTCTTAGCTTCGCCGTGTTGACCAGCTCCGTCACCCTCCCTCCTCTCCCTCCCACCTACCCCACCACACACATTAACCCCAGACAAATTGTTATGGAGCGGCCCCCGAGGATGTTGGCTCAGCACACACCACTGCAGCGACGTGTGAGCTCGTTTACCTGCCTGGGCGCGGGGCGTGAGCCTATAAATTCATGTTCTTTAGAGGCTGCAGCGAACTGTTGTCAGGAGTAGCGCGCCGCGACTGGGAGGTTTTTGCAAGGTGTTTAATGTTCTATTATGGTGATTTGGTTACAGTCAGTAGTTATCTGAGCCGGAATATACATGATATAGTGCTTAGAAACAGTTGAGTTTATTGCATATATAACTCAGCTTATTATTTATTTAGTTTTATGATTTCCAGTGTGTGTTGGGTAAGGTCCCTCTTTACTCATTTGCTATGCTCTATACCAGGTCTTGGTCAAGTCCATATATGCACAAGAGAAATCAGCAAATGACCAGTTTCCGGTGTGGCAAGTCCTCGTTGAATGATGGCGTGAATTTCTAAAGAAACTTGATGCAAATTGCAAGACAAAAGATGTTGTTCAACTTGTAGTACTGTACCGACCGTGAGAGGGGAAAGCTAATATTCTCTCAACCATAAATACCGCCACTGCAGCAGACGGTAGGTACTGGGGAGGTTGAAATAATAAATAATAATTCGCCTAGCCTAACCTAATCAAACCTAACCTAAGTGGGACGGCAAACATCTCGTGAAACAATCATTCGTTTGGGTGGGATGACACCGTCCCAGCCAGAGGTTTGTGTCTTCTTAATGGTAACCTTTACATGATGTGGACACGAGCCTTGAAAAATATAAATCACTTATAGTAAAATTTAGGCCCATACACCTTAAAAGAGCAGACGGGTAGGCGAACGTTCGTCTGGCATAGCTTACCTTGATCGCGTTACTGTAGGTAGGAAAGCCAGGCGTAATTCATTGTTTTTGTTGGCAGTGATTTTATGCTACACGAATGAGAGTTAGTACCCAATGAAGTTTACATCATCGGAGTTACGGTAAAAAAAATTTAATTCTGGTGCCATATTTGCTTTCATTAACCTATACCGTATATTCAATAACCCAATTAGATACGTCGGCTTCACATTCCCAGCCAGAACGGAAGTATGTCACAGGAATCTATATGAAAATCCACATGTGGTTGTGTGTCTTTTATAACACTGTAGGTAAGTCGTTTCTGGTATTTTGTTCTCACTTTATGGGATCATTTCTCAGGGTTGACTGCGATGCAGAAATTTAAGGTTATATTGCATCCCTGCGCTTTTAAAGACTAAGGATCGTAAGCGCGTAGAGTAGAGAGTACTAGTCATCGATCAACCATTAAAAGTTAATTGAGATACAGGTAGGAGTGAGTCCTGGTGCATTACCTGGTGAATTATGTACAAGATAAATGTATTTAACTTGGCTTTAGTGAACTTTGTTGAGTTGCCAAACTTTTAGCTTAGCCTCATATGGTCCAGGAGTCAGTGAATTTGGCAATACGCTTCCTGGGAAAAATAAACCAATTTTTTAACCCACTGAACCTTAAGAAAAGGTTAAATAGCAAATAAAAACACGGGTTTATCCTCACTAGATCTATATATGCATCTGGGGAATCTACCATTGACTAAAGCGAAGCGTCACGTTGACAAATAACAAAATTAGAGAGGAAGGCCAACACGACCAGCTAAGTTGAGGCCACCAGGTGCCCTCTCACAGATGGTGTGTGGGGTGTAAAGTCACCATCTACCTCTCTGCACCGCCTGGGACCCTGTGGTGATATATGGATAGAGATTAATGGTTCTTTATTAGGGCTGTAACGCATCAAATGTTATCAAGAAGAGAATCGTCTGGTGTACACGAATATAAGATAAGGCGGAGGAATAATTAGCTTGCGTTAGGCTACAGACGTGAAGACTAATTAGCTTGCACCGTTGGGCTACACAGATGAAGGATATAATCAGCTTGGACTAGATTACAGAGGTAAAAAATAATGATTCTGCTTTAGGCTACAGAGGTCAAGAATGATTAGCCTGTACTAGACTATAGAGGAAATAATAAGTAGCCTACACTAGACTACAGAGATGAGGAATTATTATATTGTACCAGACTACATGTGAGATATAACCACCTGTATCTTAGACTACAAAACAAATATTTTATCTTAAGCCACAAGACTGAACTAATCAGTATTATTGCAGGCTACAAGATAAATAAACTATCTCAGGCTATATTACAGGAAAACACAAGCTGTATCTAAGGTTACAAATAATTATAATCAGCTATATTTTAGACTACGATAAAAGTAATTTATAAAAGGTTACAAGAATCCAATATTTTATCGTAAACTACAAGATAGATATAAACTACAGGATAGAATTAAATCTTAGCTTATAAATAAGAAATATTTTAGGCTACGACAAAGAGCAAATTCATCTTGCACTAGGCTACAGGGCTTCGAGGTGTGGTCAAACAGGCCCAACCAGCCAGTAGCCAGAGAGATGTTGATACTCGTTTTACGGGGAAATGTATCTAATTTTTAGCACAGAGGGAATGACCAAAGTTGGGTGTATGAGAGACGAGTTAATGAACGTCTGTGAGCACTCTGGCGGCAAGATTAAAAGAGATGTTTAAATGGGAAAACCCCGGAGTGTTGACCAACGTTACAGAGAGAGATGGAGGTGTGTGTGTGTGTGTGTGTTTGAGGAAAGTGATGGCTGCCAGGCTGACTCCACCAGATGGCGCTGTGCTGAAGTTCTCATACTTGGGTAAGAGAGGAAATGAGACATGGAGACAATAGTTTTGTCTTTGGATAACTCGTTTGATACTGTAGTTATCATTTCACACTGGAGAAGAGACCTGGATACATCAATTTCATCTTTCATCACCAATTTTTAGCTAGCTTGCTGTAGTCGTTATTAAACAAATAAAATAGCCTTTTCAATTTGTACACTGTCTCCCTAAATCATGCCAGTGGCTTGTGTAGGATCCCTTCATTATTCCTGATAATTCTGATGCACACCTTCAACTGGTAGACCGTTCCAAGGTCTACCAGCCCGTGTGTAAAGAAGTACTTCCTTATATTCGTTCTGCATAACTTGTGGAACTAGTAGTTATGCCCCCTCATTTTGTTTGTGCGTGACATCACAAACAAATGTCCTAGATTCACGTTTTCCATCCATCCCTTTCAAGATTCTGAATTCTTCAATGAGATCCGCCCTATTGTGCCTTGCCTGAAGGGTTGTTAGTCCTAAGGCCTACAGTCTACTTGGATAATCAAGATGACATGGTTCAGGAATTATCATAGTCGCTGTGTTAATCCTTTCCTAGGGATGTTAGGTCTTTCTGGAGGTAAGGTTTCCATGCCTGTATGCTTTATAATTCCCAAATCTGTTACTCTCACATGTTGCGCCTCTTCAGTGAATGATATATCACGACACTAATTTTACCCCAACAATATTAATTTACCCCCAAAACACCTGTATACTAACTTCATTACCAACACAAACATCAACACCACTAAATTTACCGCCCAAAATGTCTTGAACAGGTTTCGTCACCATCCTCCTCCTCCCATCCCATTACTGAGAGACTCGCTGCTAATCAAGAACTTTCACCAGTGTAGAAGCGAAAGGAGAATTAGGAAACGGTAGAGGGTAAATAAGGTGAAAGTGAGTAAAGGAAAAGATTAAAAGGAGAGATAATAAAGAGGAGGGAATGAAGAAAATAGAAAATAATAAAAAACAGGGAAATAATGAAGAATGTAGAGAAGGTTACAAAACAAGATAAAACAAGAGATAAGAACTAAAGGGAAAAATGTCTATTCTTTAAACGTCACATTATATTAATTTTCTAGTCTGACAGACTGTAAAGGATGTAAGTCTGAATATTTATCATTTACTTGTCCTATTTAGCATCGTGTGTGTGTGTGTGTGTCTGTTTGTTGGTGTGAGCGTGTGTTCTGTTTGTTGGTGTATGTGTGTGTTGTAGTGTGTGTGTGTGTTGGATTGTATTTCAGTTTACTAATGAGAAAAATTTCGGCATTCTCAAAGATGTCATGTTCTCAAATGGCCACATACTTGAGTAGCCTTTGTTCCCCCCTCACCATTCTTACACAGCCTTCAAATTTAGATCCCTTGTACCCAAAATGTCCAATTTCTAAAGAAATTACAGTACAGTATATGTCAGGTCAGCTTCCACAAACTTTAAATGCATTATAGACCTTCTCAATCTTGGCTGACATTAGTGGCTTCCACCATAAGGCCAAGCACAATACAGTAGTTAGTTGATATTATGTTCAAAGACTGTATTACTGCACTTGTACACACATAATATCCAATATCATTATCTTCCCAAACATACGAAGGAACAAATAAAACATAAGTTCTACATTTTATGGCATTTATTCAAAAATTATATTGCATTGCCTTATTCAAAATTATATTGCACTGCATTAGATATGCAAATCAATTTCCCTTTTTTGTAATCGAGAATTAAATCATAAGTTTGACTTCATCTTGCTGTCAAAGCACACTTAAAAAATTAAAAATACGAAATTTCCATCCCATCAGTAAAAACGGCTACTGCATTACGCCAGACACACTTAGGACTAACACCAGTATGTGAACCTTTCAGGTCCTTTTAACAAAAGTTCTTATGGCATTCAAGAAATGGTGCAACATTGTGTTACTAATGAACCAAATACGGTAGGTGTAGCTAAATACAACACTTATTATCTAACTATAGGAAAAGATATACAAAAAGTATAATTATCTGAGAGTACAAAACATCACATTAGGTAAACCATTATCAAGAACATCAGGGCAAAAACAGCTCAAGTAAAAAGATCCGAGTTACAAAGACTCTCAGAAAAATTTATTTTGACTTCTCAAAGCTTTAAAAGTTAAGAAAACATTAAAATTCATCATATAAGATCACAAATACCAGGTCAGCGCCCAACAGGTGGACTTACTCACAACTGTCAGCAAGTAATCACTTTAGGATACAGTACAGTACACTAGTAGGTTAAGCTCGATTCCCTCCACTTCAATCGTGTGGACTGAAGGTAACATTACAAGACATCAGGTCCCTCACATGTGTCCTGCCCTCACTTTTTTACCTTAGTGATTACTACAGCTCCTCTAAACATTATGTGTCTGTTAATCTTTAGTTTTCATGGTTTGTTATTAACGTGTTGTCTTATTTAATGTCTACAACTGATTTACAAGTTACCTCACATCTGGTCAGTGAGTTCAATTTAATAGTTCATTGTTTTGCTTAAATAAATACTCCTAACAGGCACCTAGATTTATCATTGCCTCTCAGGAGTTTTCTGGACACCATCTTAAAACAGAATTAAATGAAAATGATCCTTATAACTGTGACAAATACAAAACATTACACAAACAGCTAATACAGTACCAAGAGTAGCATCATAACACTTATTAGCAGCAAGTTTTAGGTTAATTTACTTGTTCTATAAAAGTGACACCCACACACAATAATGATTGGCTTCCCCTTCATATTGTCAAGATCCTATTCTTGGTAATGAAACAAAAAAAAATACTACTCCTTAAATTCATGTGTGAACTTACACTTGTCCAACATTGTTTACCACTATCCAGCAAGTGTAGTCATTCATGATACCTTCTGTCTGTCTTTCACCACACACATACTCACTTTGTCCCCTTCATCCTCTCAGTGTCCATGTACAGTCAAAGAAATCAGTCAGTTATGTTACACTAATTTAGGTGGCTCAGACTCGAGGCTTCACTGTAACTGATGGGAAATTTTACCCCCAAATTTCATCATGTGTTTCAGAACAACACTACTGTAGGTGGGCGTAAGGCGACTTTTTTCTTTGACTGTACGGTACATCATCACACACAGGTATATTAGTTTTACATTCGGCTATAGATTAAGAGCCTGAATAAAATCTTACAACCTCATTCCAAGTATTCCCTGTAAATTTTACAACCTTAAAGAACAAAAACTAACTCTGAACTTGTAATTTACTAGATACTGTATATGTTTAATGTAGGTTTACCTTCTTAAATTAGATTTATCCTCGTTGAATTTTTCTTCAGTTTATTGTTTTACTTTCATTTCTGTGCATTAGAAGTATAATAATACAATGGTTTATGTCCTATTGATGTCTGCCTTGAACATATTAGGTCCACCCTAAAGCGTAATGTGCTTTGTCATACTTCATCTTGAGCACAATGTTTCTATCAACATGATTGAACACCAGTTGTACCTTGAGTCCCCAATATTGTACACCAGTTGTACCTTGAGCCCCCAATATTGTACACCAGTTGTACCTTGAGCCCCCAATATTGTACACCAGTTGTACCTTGAGCCCCCAATATTGTACACCAGTTGTATCTTGGGGCTTCATTATTGTCCAATAGCATAAACACAAGGTTCAGCCATAACAGCAGTAAGGTAAAATGCATTGTTAGACATGTCGGCATCCTGTTTTTCACGTACGTTTTACAGTTTCACAAAGTAGACATTGTTTCAATGCAGTATTACAAAAACATATACTGCAGGTTCACTCTTAATTTGTTAACTAAGATTATTAATGGATTATAACAGTAAAATAAAAGTCATTTTACTGTTGACTGAAAGCTTACAAGCCAGTGAGTATTAATGGTAGTGAGTCAGTTTCAACATAAACAGCCTTGTGAGTAATTATTCATAATCTGCATAGATACTTTAAGGACCACACTTTCTTTTTCTTGCTCATTTACTTACGCTAATTTCAGTCAAAATAACAATCAATAATAGTTGAACTAGTACTGACGCGAAAATACTGTCGAAGTTTCTAGAGTGGAAGGTCGGTAAGGTACTTCTTAATGACATCTTGATCCCTCTGCAACCATGCAGCATTGAGACGTATAGTTTCCAAGCTCTGCTGCACCGTGCGCTCCGTCCCAGGAATCTGTCGCTCTCGGAAGAACGTCTCCACCTCAGCCGCCATCTCTTCAGTTGCAAAGTTTTCCGTGATGTACTTGATAAGACGAGTCACCAGGTAACCACCCTGTGCAAGTAAACATAAAATAAAATAGACTATAATGGTCATCTTTGTGATCTTTTTATTCGAGAACCCTATATACTTCCTAGACTACACTAAACAATATACCAATCAGGAACCTAATACAGTATTTTGTGTAAATGTGGCCTAATGTGACAGAAAGATGTGATATGATCCACACAATTGATTACCTTAAATGAAGTGCTGAAAATGTCCACCACCATGTTGCAGGTACAAATTTATTCTTGGCAGCATGCTCTGCGGGGCATTTCTTGGGGAATATTACCAATTGTGTCACCGATAATTGCCTGTTTCTCTGAACTGCTTCAACAGTTTCCATATCGATGATTTTGAAGGTTTTGTACGACCACCATAGCGACTTTTATATGCAATATGACATTTCCCAAAGGATGCATTCTTGACGTAATGTTCGACGAGAAACAAGTGTTCTAACAAAGTGAGCGCCATGGCATGAATGAGTGAAAACCGCAGAAAGCCACTGATGGATCACGTGATAAATCATGTGAAACCTGATAATTCTCAGGACCATGTAACATTAGGCTACATTTACGCAACACAATAGGTTCCCAACTGATATACCTGTAAGTAGTCTTTAGCGTGTGAGATTTATCTAGGGTTATCGAATAAAATAAATCACCCCGTACTTCATTTTTAACTGATATAATGGAGCAATGAGGCATTTTTACATAACTATCTTAAATAATTACAACCAATATCCCCTAACAAGGAATGAACCAAGGTCTACAGCATGCAGATAAGGGGCACTGTTTACAATAATGGACAACGCATATAAATCACTATAATGAATACCAGAAGAGATCAAATAGACATGACCGACTCTATAGATAATGACTTCATAAAATGGATGCACAGAAATTATCTCTTTTCTATCATCCCTAAAAGCATCAATGATCATTAACACAATAGACAGTACAGTATTGATTTTATATTCAAATTACAGTAACTACAGTATACACAAGTTAAATTACTGTAGAGGCAACAGCGCAACAAACTTTTCATAATAAACTTGAAAACTGACCTCGTATCTGTCTACAAGCTCCTGATGGTGTTTCTTGAAGAAGGCCCAGGCAGCAGAGCGTCCTGGAGCAGTCATGGCCACACTGATGATCACAAATATGGTGTCCTGATTCCTCACTTCATTCTGCAACATAATATACAAGATCGTGAAGAAATATTCCCCAATCCTAGAGACAAAGTGCATATCACACACACACAGACACACACATGCACGCGCACACACACGCACGCGCACACACACGCACACACACACACACAGAGGCATAACTTTAATAGTAGATTGGAATAACATGCAATAATATATTTATTATGGTAGTTTGAAGAGACAAACTTCCGAGACTCACCGACATGGCAAACTGAAGGACGCGCTGGATGAGGTTAGGGTCGCGGGTGGCACCAAGTGATCTGGAGATACGGTCCTTCTCCTCGTGTAGGTCTGCCTCACGGTACAGCTGCAGAGAGAAGTACAGGTCAACATTGTACATAAGAATGAAAATTAATTAGCCAATATATTGTAATATTACACTTTACCCCATCATTTCCTCCCCTTGTTAACTTATTGGCCATTCATGAGGTCAGTCTGTTCTTTGTTATTTACTTACAACCTCCTTGGTGCAGTGATGATGGTCAAGTTTATCACTAATAGAATTAACACATAACCCAATAAGGTGCTGAGTGTGGCTGGAACTTTCATCAAACAGACTCTCTTCCTAAGCTTATGTACTGTATATTTCAACATGATTCCTCAGTGACACCAACAACTGCTAACCTTTATCATCTGGTCGTAGGTCTTCTCATCAGCCTGGGAGACGACGGTCTTGTAGACGGGTGAACGGAGGTCAGCCGGCAGGGTGGTGGTGGCAGCTACATGGGCAGCCAGTCGCTTCTTGGCCTCGGCCACGACGGCCTCATCACCGTACAGACCCAGCTGACCCAACACTAATGACCGCAACAGTGTGTCCAGGTGCTCTGTGGTCAACACCAAGTTGGAGGTGATTAGCAACTAGCTATCTTGGAGCCAACTAGTCAAGTATTTAAATAAACCTGATAGTCTGTGGTTGAAAGTCATTCGTCAACAGTGATCTCTCTGTCTCTTCCTTTCACCATGTACAGTACGGGTCAAGACGGGTCAGACGCACCTGGCGCTGCTCAGCAGCAGCCACGTCAACTGTTATGTTGGCCCATACCAACCCCCTCCCCTGAACCCTCCTCCCCACCGGAATATCAACAAGTTCTCGCCAGAAGTTACTATTTCATTTGGGAAAGGAATGGAACCAGTGTTGAATAGTGCTTAAGTCAGTGAAAAACAAATCGGCAGTTGAGTCTTACCCAAGTTAACCTTCACACAGTGAGGTCCCAGGTACCCAGTGGTAATTTCCCTGAGACTCCAGGATAGAGAGGCCTGGGACTACACCTCAGACCACGTGGTGCCCCATGATGCTACGACACCACATAGTGAATGAGTTGCTACAGCATCATGTGAAGTTCCTCATAACACCACCTGTGAGGGAATTTCTACACCACGTGATGCCCCGCATAACACCATCTGTGAGGGAATTACTATGCCATGTGATGCCCCTTATAACACCATCTGTGAGGGAAATACTACACCACATCAGGCCCCTCATACACCATCTGTGAGGGAATAACTACACCACATCAAGCCCATCATAACACCATCTGTGAGGGAATTACTACATCATCAGGCCCCTCATACACCATCTGTGAGGTAACTACTACATCATCAGGCCCCTCGTAACACCATCTGTGAGGGAATTACTACACCACGTCAAGCCCCGCATAACACCACCTGTGAGGGAACTAGTACTCCACGTGATGCCCCTCATAACGCCATCTGTGAGGGAGTTACTACACTACGTGTCTGCTGTTCAACACCTCAGCTTACATGATCTACGTGTGCAAACATTGATCTGTATGTTCACTGTATGTTCCTTCACCTTTCTCTAATGAAGGCTTTTGTTAAACCACCAATGTATGTAACAAGTCATTTATGTCCAATGTATATTATTATTATTATCTCTCCAGTCCTCTCTATCTCTCATATCTTTCCTTCCTTCCTTCCCTCCCTCTTTCTGTCTCTCACTTCCCATAGGTGCATCTCCCTCCCCACACACTAATCTCCCTTCACACACACTAATCTCCCTTCACACACACTAAATCTCCCTCCCCACACACTAATCTCCCTTCACACACACTAAATCTCCCTCCCCACACACTAATCCCCCTTCACACACTAAATCTCCCTCCCCACACACACACTAATCTCCCTTCCCATCTCCTTCACACACACACTAATCTCCTTCCCACACACACACTCTCCCACACACCACACTAATCTCCCTTCACACACACTAAATCTCCTCCCCACACACTAATCTCCCTTCACACACTAAATCTCCCTCCCCACCTGTCTCCTCCACACATCTCCCACATAATCTCCCTCACACTAATCTCCCTCCACTAATCCCTTCACACACTAATCTCCTCCCACACACTAATCTCCTTCCCACACACTAATCTCCCTCCCCACACAATCTCCCTCCCCACACACACTAATCTCCCTTCACACACACTAAATCTCCCTCCCCACACACTAATCCCCCTTCACACGCACTAAATCTCCCTCCCCACACTAATCCCCCTTCCCACACACTAATCTCCCTCCCCACACTAATCTCCCTTCCCACACACTATTAATCTATTTAGACTTAATTAATCCAATTAGTTGCCATCTTGCATCATCAGTTTATGGGAGAAATATAACTTTGGAACCTTTGAGACTCCTGGCCACAAGGTACAGTGGTAAGATGAGTGGGTGAAGGCAGGTGAGGAACAGGTGAGGGGGGGCAGGTAGGAACAGGTAATGTATTCTCACACTGGGTGGCACCTGGGTGATGACAATAATGAGGTAGGTAGGTGTGTGTGTGTGTGTGTGTGTGTGTGTGTGTGTGTGTGTGTGTGTGTGTGTGTGTGTTCCAGGATGTACACAGGACCTGACCCTCACAGGTACCTCACACTAATTATAAAGTTTGAGGTCAATAATTCGACCCAGCAGTGATAGCGAGGAGGGTGGGCTGACGTCTGTGGGAGGGCGGGGCGCTTCTGCCATCCTACCGTATCCTGGTCTACCATCCTACCCTGCCCCTGTCTGGCCATCCTACCCTGTCGTTGTCTGACCATCCTACTCTACCCTACCCAATTCTGCATTACCCATCCTTCCCTCTCTTGTTCATATTCCTGAACTAACACTGCAGGCTTGAGTTAGGTCAGGTTAGGCAATGCTACACTGGATTAGGTTAGGTTACAGGTATGTTAGGATTGTTTAAGTTAGAGGGAGGAAGGGGGGGAAAGGGGGGAGAAGGGGAGAAAGGGACACTTTACGACCCACTACCATGGACGGCTCCCTAGTTAACCCGCATAATTAATCAGAGGAGTAGTGTAAACGGTAGTTCATCATCGGCTAATGACTAGCACTCACCCGGCCAGCGAGGTCAACTTGTCCACAGTCACGCCAACCAATATACTGTACAGTATTGTGCCCCCCCCCCCCCGTGACGCCGAAATATTTATTGTATACACCCACAAGCTGTTTGGGTTTTTATATACTGTACATTGTCTAGTTTAGTTCATTAAAAATTCAAAGTCGTATTAAGTGACTCACCATTGTCAATATGTGGCTTTTTACATCAAGTATGTGTTATTGTTATTGTTATTATTATTATTATTATTATTATTATTATTATTGTTATTAATAGTTATTATTATTATTATTATTATTATTATTATTATTATTAGTTGTTATCATCATCCTCCAACAACACAAATTAAACCTACCTCACATCACACACGTATTTATAACACTATTAACACGCTTTAACATGCATGGAAATGGAACATGCACGGCAGGAAATACAGGTACAGTAGTAGTAGTACTAGTAGTAGTAGTAGTACTAGTAGTAGTAGTAGTAGTGATAGTAGTAGTAGTAGTAGTAGTAGTAGTAGTAGACCTCACAGGAGCAAGGAAAGTGGAGGACATCAAAAAAGTGGTGGGACCTGGTAACATCGGGTCCACAAATGAGGTACCACCAAACGCCAGCAAATCCTTCCTCGTGAAAGCCAGATCGTATGATGGGCTGTGAGTTCGGCGAAAGTGAAATCAAAATAACTAAGGAATGGCCAAAAGACATCAAAACAGTAATTGGCCTCTGGTTTCAAGACCCGATGCGTAGGGAAAGGTGAGCAAGTGGGTTAAATCAAAAATGCTCTCGGTGCTAACACCTGAAACCTGTCGCGACGCTGCGGCATTCCACACTGGAGTCAAGCATCGTTGGAACTACCTGATCATTACCATCCCCTGAGATCGACCCTCCTCCACCCTTTGGAAAAGCAATCAGTGTCAAGTTCATTCCCAAACTAGTGAAACACCACGACTTAACCCCAGTAGAAAGAACACTTCTTGCACTTCCACCAAGACTGGGAGGGATGGGACTAACTAATCCAGAGGAGATTGCTGACTCTGAACATCAAAATTCACTTAAGCTCACGGTAGCCCTCACTGACCACATAATAGCCCAGAATGCAACAGGGGAAGTGGACACCAGCGAAGTTAATAAGATCCGTAGATCCATTACAACAGATCGGCAGCACTGCCAAAATGACATGTTGCAGCAATTATTGCTGCAGGTTCCAGAAAATCTGACAAAAAAAGTAGCTATAGCGCAGGAGGTGGGCGCCTCGAACTGGTTAACTCGTTGCGATAAGGGCAAATGGTTTCAGCGCAACAAACAAATTTACAGATGCCATTGCTCTAAGGTACGGTTGGCCAGTAGATGGTTGCCCTCCCAATGCGATGTGTGGCCTTTATTCTATGATGGCGATCACGCCATGGTTTTACCAGAAGGGGGCTTCATATGCATGAGGCATGGCGGGGTAAAGGATCTCACAACAAATATGTTGAAGGGAAACCTGCGGGACGTCATGGTAGAACCGACCCTCAGCTTCCACTGGATGGCGATCCTCCAACACGGGACTTCAAACATCTAAAACGTGTGGGCGTCAGTGCGCTGGGGAATTTCTGAATGAGGACAAGCGAGCCTTCTTCGACATCAGGATTTTTGATCCCATGGGCGTTTGTCACCGTAACCTAGCTCTCGATGCTGCACATAGGAGGAACGAGAACGACAAGAGAAGGGCATATGGGGAGAGAATTCAAAATGTCGATCAAGGCAGCTTCACTCCGCTAGTGTTCACAACCTCTGGTGGGATGGGCCCAAGCGCAAGATGTTTCTACGCCAGACTCGCGGAGCTGATCTCCGAACAGAAGCAGCAGCCCAGAAGTTATGTCACAGCCTGGATGAGATGTCGACTGTCCTTCTCTCTCCTTCGGTCGGCTTTGCTCTGCCGCAGGGGAACGAGAGCTTCTGCCCCTACTCCGTCAACTGCTGCAGATATCGACTATGAGGCTACAGTCACCGAATGCCGCATCGATCTGCGGCTCAACTAATTTAACACAGATAGGATAGTTGCTTATGTATTAGGATATTTAATATTAAGGTAAATAAATGGTGGCGAAGGTGTGGCTATTGGGGGAGGCTGGAGGCCACGTAGTAGTAGTAGTAGTAGTAGTAGTAGTAGTAGTAGTAGTAGTAGTAATAGTAATAGTAATAGTAATAATAATAATAATAATAATAATAATAATAATAATAATAATAACAACATATATACACTTGACTAAAATAACATTAGGCTACATTAGACTCGTATTAGATTTGGCTACGTTAGGTCAGGTCTGGTCAGGTTAAACAATGCTAAAATAAAAAACTCAACACTCACTCTCTCCAGGTTTGGCCTCCCAGCCCAGTTTTTGTCCGATCTTGGCGAAGAGGTGCCTGACGAAGGCGGCGAAGGTGGGGTGGAACTCTGTGTGGGAGAGCAGCTGGTTGAGGCGAGCTACACAGTTGTGGACGGCAGACCACACGGTGTAGTCCCTCTCGTCCTCGAAGGCCCGCAGCACCTTTAGTACCTCCACGGTGCTGGTGTGACCCGCCTGTACCTGTACCACAAGACACACCTGTTAGTACACCTGTACCACATCTGTACCACAGGGGGGAGACACACCTGTTAGTTCTACCACCCTGTGCCACAAGGGAGAGACACACCTGTTAGTTCTACTACACCTGTACCACATCTGTACCACAAGGGAGACACACACCTGTTAGTTCTACCACCCTGTGCCACAAGGGAGAGACACACCTGTTAGTTCTACCACACCTGTACCACATCTGTACCACAAGGGAGACACACACCTGTTAGTTCTACCACCCTGTGCCACAAGGGAGAGACACACCTGTTAGTTCTACTACACCTGTACCACATCTGTGCCACAAGGGAGAGACACACCTGTTAGTTCTACCACACCTGTACCACATCTGTACCACAAGGGAGACACACACCTGTTAGTTCTACCACCCTGTGCCACAAGGGAGAGACACACCTGTTAGTTCTACTACACCTGTACCACATCTGTACCACAAGGGAGAGACACACCTGTTAGTTCTACCACCCTGTGCCACAAGGGAGAGACACACCTGTTAGTTCTACCACACCTGTACACACAAGGAGACACACTATTGGTTCTACTACACCTACTTGCCACATCTGTACCACAAGGGGAGAACACACACCTGTTGGTTCTACCACCCTGTGTGCCTGAGAGACACACACCTGTTAGTTCACCACATCTGTACCACAAGGGAGAGACACACCTGTTAGTTCTACCACCATGTGCCACAAGAGACACACCTGTTAGTTCTACCACATCTGCACCACAAGGGAGACACACCTGTTAGTTCTACACATCTGTGCCACAAGGGGGAGACACACCTGTTAGTTCTACCACACCTGTACCACAAGGAGACACACCTGTACCACATCTGTACCACAAGGAGACATCTGTTAGTTCTACCACACCTGTACCACAAGGAGACACACCTGTTAGTTCTACCAAACCTGTACCACAAGGAGACACACCTGTTAGTTCTACCGCACCTCTACCACAAGGAGAGACACCTGTTAGTTCTATACCTGTACCACAAGGAGAAACACACATGTTATTTCTACACCTGTAATACATCTATACACCAATGAGACACACCTGTACCATATATGTACCACAAGGAGACACACCTGTTAGTTCTACCACACCTGTACCACAAGTGAGAAATATCTGTTAGTTTTACCACATCTGTTAGTTCTCTCACATGAGGGGGAGACACCTGTTCTACCACACCTGTACCACACAAGGGGGAGACACCTGTTCTACCACACCTGTACCACATGAGGGGGAGACACCTGTTCTACCACACCTGTGCCACACGGGGGGGGGGAGACCCCAGTTCTAAACAACTCCTGATTTATGTACTGTACAGCCCTGTAAATGTATTCAATGCATATTATATCATTATGTCTAAATCAAATGTAAGTCTGTATATTTTCAGCCACCGGCTGCAACTCTATTAATAAACCGTTTATTATTATTATTATTATTATTATCACCTGTACCACTTGGGCCGACACCTGTTCTACCACACCTGTACCACATGAGGGGGAGACACCTGTCCTACCACACTTGTACCACATGAGGGGGAGACACCTGTTCTACCACACCTGTACCACACAGACACCTGTTAGTTCTACCACACTGTACCACACAAGGGCGACACACCTGTTAATTCTACCACACAGACACACCTGTTAGTTCTAACACGTGAAGGAGACACATCTGTTCTACCACAACTGTACCACACACACACCATTCTACCACACCTGTACCACACAAGGGAGACATGTACCACACTTGTTAGTTCTACCACACCTGTACCACACAGACACACCTTTCTACCACACCTGTACCACACAAAGGAGACACACCTGTTAGTTCTACCACACGAAGGAGACACACCTGTTAATTCTATTACACCTGTACCACACAAGGGAGACACCTGTTAGTTCTACCACACGAAGGAGACACACCTGTTAGTTCTACCACACGAAGGAGACACACCTGTTAATTCTATTACACCTGTACCACACAAGGGAGACACATCTGTTAGTTCTACCACACGAAAGAGACACACCTGTTAGTTCTACTACACGGAGACACACCTGTTAGTTCTACCACACGAAGGAGACACACCTGTTAATTCTATTACACCTGTACCACACAAAGGAGACACCTGTTAGTTCTACCACACGAAGGAGACACACCTGTTAGTTCTACTACACGGAGACACACCTGTTAGTTCTACTACACGGAGACACACCTGTTAGTTCTACTACACGGAGACACACCTGTTAGTTCTACCACACCTGTAGCACATGGAGACACACATGTTCAACAGAGGGGGAAGAGAGACGTCAAATTCTTATAATATTGCAAGTTAACTTTCTACCCTAACTGGAGGTGTTAGAGGTACGACTCATATACGCTACGACACACAGAGCGGCTCAAACTTACGTCTAAACTCCACTGAGAATACCAATACCAGCGGTGTCTTCTTTAGCCTAGTTAAGAGAAACAACTTAATAATGTCTGTTTCCTTGAGCATCTTTTAATGTTTTTTTCTTTACACTGTATTGAAGAAAAGTTGTTCAGTTATCGAGATTCGTTCAGATCTGTTTCAGGAAATTCGATATTGTAACTTAACGTTATTTAAAGTACGGTAGAGAGTAGGAAAGGTTCGAGTTTTTAATTTCCAGGGATGTATTTGAACGAGTCTCGATTATTACATTTCCTGTACAAGGTGTGACGAAAAAATATTAGACTAGACCGCATAAGGAACGTTCAATATTATCAATAAATGAACCATAAGGAATCTTTTACAGCTCCAAGACTATGATGGGCAGCCAACACTGAGCCACAACCTTCCCAACCAACTCTCATTTATTCTCCATTATTGTTTTCTCAGGCAGACGATACAGCCCTGCTTGCCTTAACGCCCAAACTGAACGATCACTCCCGCTAGAATCAATCTTCGCCTCCCTGGGCTGATAACAAATGCGTGTTGTATTGTTGTTATTCATGAGTCATAATAGTGGCGGCAAAATTAAAAATCAAACCGGCTGGGGCCCAGTGCGTTCGAGCGTGTCTCTGTCCGTTGCAAATCCGAATGACAATGAAAAGAATGTAAAGTGCGATGCCCACGCCAGAAAATCAATACACTGCTCTGATGATAACAAATGTTGCAGCATTTCCATGATTCATAAGCTGTATTCGGCGGGGGAATTGGTCTCATTGGCGGGGAGATGTGTTGGAGCCCGGAGTCGGGTACCTCAACAAACAGGGCGACCAGGTAATGGATGGGGTGGTGATGGTGCGCGACGGCCTTTACCCGCCCAAAATGACGCCGTGCCGAGAGGCCACACTCCGGGGAATTTGTCTCCGTCTGCACCACAATCCATTCACATCCCTGGGAGGTCTTAGTGCAGTACACCCTTGCTCCACAAACATTCCAACACTTGCATGTCATAATGGACCTTGTGTCATAATGGACCCCATGTCATAATGGACCTTGTGTCATTATGGGCACCATGTCATAATGGACCCCATGTCATAATGGGCCCCATGTCATAATGGGCCCCCATGTCATAATGGGCCCCATGTCATAATGGACCCCATGTCATAATGGACCCCATATCATAATGGGCCCCATGTCTTTATGGACCCCATTTCATAATGGGCCCCATGTCATAATGGGCCCCATGTCATAATGGGCCCCATGTCATAATGGGCCCCATGTCATTATGGACCCCATATCATAATGGATCCCATGCCATAATGGACCCCATGCCATAATGGACCCTGTAATGAGACAAATCTCACAAGAAGAAGATTACATATACAGTAGGTAGAATATTGATAGTGTAAGAGTATAAAAGAGAGGAAGATTTTGGTAGCGTGGCCGTGATAGTTATACGTCAATACACATCTATTACGTCTTAAGGGCGACTTCTCAAACACCGCTTCGTTACAACTCTTTATTAATTATGACAATGACATGAACACATTAATAACACCTTCGTTACTAGGACATTATATTTACGTTACTAGGACATCATATTACGTTACTAGACACTCTGATTCTCGGACACGAACCTGAAATGAATACACTTCCCACGTAAGTAACTCATCCCATGGAAAGCTCTGACAAAAACTCACGTGACCTAGGGGAGGCCTAGCAGGTGGTCCTGGGTTGTCTCTGTGGGAGACTGCTTAGCTGGGCACCGGTGTATCGAGGGCAACTCGCTACCGACCGGAGGCGACCGGAGGCGGCTTGCCTCCGGCCCCTGACTTCTCTCGAGCAGGACTGGGGACGTGGTAGCTGGCCCTTCTTGGTTACAAGACACACTCTCTCTCTGTCTCTCTCTGTCTGAGCAGAGGGAGGACTAGGACGTCCTATATATTGGGAGGCGAGCCGTCAGGTTGAGCTGATCAGGGGGGCGGCGAAGGGTCTCCTTACATTTGCCCTCGCTAATGTAGGGTCAGGTCTGGACTTTTTCAGAGACTATAAGTTGTATATTCTGGAGAAATCTTCAGATGGGGCCGTGTGACATGAGAGGCCCTGGTTGATTTGTGGCTCGAGGGTTACATTTGACCTGGCTAATGTGAGGTCAGGTCTGGACTTCTTCTGCGGTGTAGGTTATTGTGTATATTGGGAGAGAGTCGGCCGGTGCCTTCTTACATGTTTGTTGGGGCCGTGTGACATGGGAGGAGAGCCAGTTGATTTGTAACTCCTTGAGTGGTTGCGAGGGGTACCCTTACATTTGACCCCCCTAATGTCGGGTCAAGTCTGGACTGTTTCTGAGATGTAAGCTGTGGTCTGACAACCCATCACTACAAGCCCATGTTATAATAGACCCCATGTCATTATGGAGCCCATATCATTATGGACCCCATGCCATAATGGACCTCATGTCATAATAGACCCCATGTCATTATGGAGCCCATGTCATTATAGACCCCATATCATAATGGACCCCATATCATAATGGACCCCATATCGTAATGGACCCCATATCATAATGGACCCCATGGCATAATGGACCCCATGTCATTATGGACCCCATGTCATAATGGACTCCATGTCATAATGGACCCCATGGCATTATGGACCCCATGTCATTATGGACCCCATGTCATTATGGATTGTCATAATGGACCCCATGTCATTATGGACCCCATGTCATAATGGACTCATGTCACCCATGGCATTATGGACCCCATGTCATTATGGATCATAATGGACCCCATGTCACGGACATATATAAGGATTTACTCATTATGGACCCCATGGACCCCCGCCTGTTAATGGACCCCATGTCATTATGGACCCCCATGTCATAATAGTTGGACCATGCATATAATGGACCTTTGATGTCATAATGGACCCCATGTCATTATAGACCATGTCATTATGGACCCCATGTCATTATGGAGCCCATGTGTCGTTATGGGCCCATGTGGAGCCCATGTCGTTATGGAGCCCATGTCGTTATGGAGCCCCATGTCATTTCATAGACCCATGTCCTTTATGTCATTATGGAGCCCATGCCATAATGGACCCCATGTATATGGCCCTGTCATGTGGATACATGTCCTCATGGACCCCATGTCATTATGGACCCCATGCCATAATGGACCCATGTCATTATGGAGCTCATGCCATAATGGACCCCATGTTATAATGGACCCCCATGTCATTATGGACCCCATGCCATAATGGACCCCATGTCATTACGGAGCCCATGCCATAATGGACCCCATGTCATTATGGACCCCATGGCATAATTTTCCACATGTCATAATGGACCCCATATCATTATGGGTCCCATGTCATAATTGGCTATAATGGGCCCCTAGTCATAATGGCCCCATAGTCATACTGGGCCCCTTATCACAAGGGTTACAATAATGGGCTATAATGGGCCTGTAGCCATAATGGGCCCGTAGTCATAAGGGGCCCGTAGTCATAATGGGCCCGTAGTAATAAGGGGCCTGTAGTCATAAGGGGCCTGTAGTCCGTAGTCATAATGGGCCCGTAGTCATAAGGGGCCCGTAGTCATAATGGGCCCGTAGTCATAAGGGGCCCATAGTCATAAGGGGCCCGTAGTCATAAGGGGCCCATAGACATAAGGGGCCCTGTAGTCATAATGGACCCATAGTCATAATGGGCCCATGGTCATAATGGGCTGCTTATCACAATGGGTTCCAATAATGGGCTATAATGATAGATCACATTTATTCCCCAGTATTACAATACAATGATGTCACCGGGAATGAGTACAATATGATGATCATCCAGTGATGGCAGAATAAGAATTTTTAATGACGCTGTCATTGTTAATTTGCTTGAAAGGCCGATACAGGACCAGCTGGTTGTTCTTAGATGTTTCATGTGTGGAGGGCTGCATATAGTGTAGGAGGGGTGGCAACAGCATCTTTCCAGGGATGGCACATGTCCACCTTGGCACGAGTCAAACTACCGGTAACTCAAAGGCTTTAACTTTCTCGTGGGAGCGCTTCACTACACGTTACAACATCTCCCAGGTGGGGAAGAGTTATTTTGGCACTTTTTTCATGTTTGTATGTTTGTCTTAAAGAGTACTGTATTCTTATATCTTTTTCACTGCTTGCCAGAATATGTTTGCCAATCTTTAAGTGATTGTAGAGTAGCTGTTATGTCAGGCTACTGTCGTCCAGGGTGAGCATGGCCAGTTCAATATAGTTAATCACGTATATATTCTCTCTCTCTCACACATTTTTCAGCTCCCCTCAGGTGGAAACAGGAAAATTACAAGTAGTAGATGGTGTACTGGGGTACTTACCATAGAGAACAGGTCATCAAACACACCAAGTCGATCAAGAGGTGGAAGGCAGTTGGTTCTCATTGCTGGTATGAGTTGAGTCAACAACTCTGGGGTGTACTGTGTCCTGCAGGAGACCAACATGAGTGAATTAGATTATGAACAAGGAGGAAGATGTTGTCCCCTAAGCCTTCCACAGTCAGATAAATTAATCTAGTTAAGAATGACTGTATGAAGAAGAATCAAGGAACACACACACTCAGCACACACGTTCTGTAACACATCCATCCCCATACGTTCAGTCAGCATGATGACCTTCTAGCCAGGGTGTGTACTGCTGTTGTTTCCTGTTATGTCTATACTAAAACGTGGTAATCAACAAATGGTCCTTCACACCTAAACCAACCAAACCTAACCCCACCTAAACCAACCAAACCTAACCCTAACCTACACATTTCTCAACTTTCCCATTAAGTATACTTCCTAATGTACTGCATAAGAGTACCTAAGAAAAATCACTAAGGATATTCACCCGCTTACCTATAGTATCCTACAGTTCCTGGGTTTAACTTCACCCAAGTGTTTTCAGAGATGCCTTCCAGCACCACCTGTGTTGTCTTGCCCTCCAGCAACACCTCCTGCACTGCCTTTGATGGGTTCTTCTCTGTTGAGATATTGATCGGTACCATCCACTGGCTGTTGTCTCCTGTAATGGATATTGTACATCATGTTGAGATAAACGGATTAGTGAGAACTCTTGAGTAAACTATCTATCATTATCTACCTTCTCTATACAGCACATATCTTGTATCGCCTGAAGATTACACACTCTAGCTTATTCCACCTGAAGATTAGACACCCCAGCTTATTTCACTTAAGATTATGGAACTACAATATTTATTAACCACAAACACCACCAGAATATTCAAGTCTCAATTGTCATGTTTGTATCTATTACCTACAATGATTTCATGGTCACTATGGTTTATAATCTCTTCTTATATTTTGAAAGCAATAACCCATTGGTTTAACCCTTTGAGGGTAATGGTTTAACCCACAGAGACAACAGTCTGACTCTTTGAGGAAAACAGTTTAGCCCTCTGAAGAAAATAATTTAACCCTCTCACCCTCCAAAGATTAAACTCTAAAGCTGCACCTCACCTGTGGATCCATCAGCAAGGAACCTCTGCTGCGTGAGGGTGAGGACTCTGTTGTCTCCGTCCTGGTGTGAGGCGACGGAAATCATCGGGAATCCTGTCTGTTTGGTCCACGTGCTCATTACTTCGGCCACGGGCTTACTAGACGCCTCACTCAGCGCCGTCCATAAGTCCTCTGTGTAGGTGTTGCCGTACTGATGACGTGTCAGGTATTTTTTCATGCCGGCCCTGAAGTCCTGAAACAAAATGTATTAGATATATTCTGTCAAGTTCATTGTTTGTGGTGCAGTGCAAGTTGTATTATTTTGTTATAAAGTATTATTGTTCGATATTTAGCAGCTGCTGTGGCAATAAAACCAAGTATATACTGTACCTCATCTCCCAGGTAAGAGTGCAACATGCGGATAACGGAAGCCCCCTTGGAATATGAAATGTCGTCAAAGATCTCATCCACCTCCGATGGATGACCAACAGGTACTTCAATGGGATGTGAGTTCTTGAGACAGTCTAGTTCCAGCGCCCGGATGTAGGTGTTGGTGACAAACTGTGTCCAGATATCGTACTCTGGGAACAAGTGGTCAACACACAGGAACTCCACAAAAGTAGCATAACCTTCATTCAGCCACAGATGAGTCCACCATTCCTGTCATCACAGATTCAAGAAGTTAATTAATCTCATGAATAAACAATTATTATAGTATGTCAATAGCAAGATATCTTCATTATTATACTGTATTGTGCTTAAAACATTAACTTCAATATTTCAAAATAATAATAATAAAAAAAAAACACTCACCATTGTAACAAGATTACCAAACCACTGGTGGGCAAGTTCGTGTCCAACAACAAGTGCAATCCACTGGCGCTGGCTGGCACTGGTGTTGTGGGGATCAACCAAGAGACAAGTTTCCCGATAAGTCACTAAACCCCAGTTCTCCATGGCACCTGCAGCATAAAAATTGGGGTATACGTAGTATTTCCTTGAATGAAGTTTAGTTGGTTTTGTAGTGATAGTTACAGGAAACACGATACAATTATGAAACTTGATGTACTGTGAGAGTGATAAACCCATCTTAGGTTAGGTTATACTGCATATCTATCACTTCCTCTATCACACATAAGCACAAATATTGACATAGGATAAATAAATCTAATACAGTACTAAACTAAAATACACATATCAATTGCATGTCACAAGTAAAACTGAAAAAAAAATATGTAACAAGTTTCAAAGATCATTATCCACTGATATACATTTTTAACATACCATAAAGCAACTCTGTTCACTGATAAAAACCATCACTTACCAACGGAGAAATCAGCAATAGCGATGAGGTCCATCTTAGGCAACGGATAGGCAATGTTGAAATACTCTTTGTAATAAGGCAGGACCTTTGTGGCAACCTCCAAGGCAAACTTCCCTTGCTCTTGCTTCCCCATCGGAGTGTAAACACGAACCTGACAACACATCATATCAAGACCTTAACACCTGGACTTATCAACAATGCATTATGTCATGGGGGAAGAGACTTGTAAGGAGTAAATAATGGGAATGTACTGTACAGGGAATGTCACAGTACATGAGGAAAGACACAAGGTTGAAGTCTCAGATGGATGTGCTTAAGAACAACACCCAGTAGAGTTTATGGGATGAATAAAATGTAAAGAATAAGACAAATATAAAAAAGATCTGGAAGGAATGTTGTAAGGGAAGATGACAAGGGTGTGGTATGGTGGTGAAGACATACAGTATTTGCAGAATGGGAAATGAAAGATTAGTAAAGAGAGATATAATACAGATATGGATGGTACACAAGAGAGAGAGAAAGAGATGACTGAGAGGGAGGTGGAAGGATGGGATGAGGGAGGTAAAGTATTGCCAAGACACTGAGGATGTTAAGACAAATAAAACATAAGGTACTCTATATAATATTTCTTAAATATAAAAGAAAAAAGTACAGGCAACTCTCTTAGGTCTATAATTATGTTTATCTCTTAGGTCTACAATTCTATATCAACGTTAAATAATAATACAAGACATCACGAGGACGAACGGTGAAGCAGCAGACTTACCTTGATGCCGTCACTAGAAGTGTCCTCCACGTAGTCGTACTCTCCCACCACAACGGCCACCAAGTATGTTGACATGAGGGGAGTCGTGGCAAACTTCACCACATGCAGGTTAGGGTCTGATTCATAGGGCGTTCGTGAGATCTCGGGCTGTAGACATCAATGAAAATTATCACTAAATTACCCCCCAGCAGAGAAAAAACGATAATTAATATTGCCAGCTCTCTATGGTCGTCTTTTGACCAGCTTAGTAAAATAGAGTTTGGGTAAAAAAAAATGAAATGCAGCTCAAAATTTAATGACAAAAATAGGAGATTTTTGGTATGGATTTAAACAGCTAAGAAACAGGAAACAAATTAGTTTACATTAATGCTAAGAATATGAAAGAAAATATAAATTCATATCAACATAATATTCCTTTAATTCATTTATGACACATCCAAGATAATTATATATGTATGCATATAGTATGTATGTATGTATGTATGTATATGTATGTGTGTGTGTGTGTGTGCTATATCTGAATTGATCATACACAAGTCATTTCTTACACAAACTTAAACCCACAATTTGTTTCATACGAGCAATAACCTGACATAACTTGCATTAATAATAAACAGACCACAAGATTTTCATTTTGATCTTGTGTAATGAAAGAACCAAACCTTGTGTATGACAAAGACAAAACCCAAGTAAGAAATAACCTGTATATGAAATGACCAGTGTCCAAAAGTGTAAAACTAATGCTACAATTACCCCGTGTTAGTTTGTTAGTTATTCTTAAGGTAAGTTTGGTAGATGATTTACCATACAGTACAGGGTTCTCACAATATGTCAGATACAAAACTTCCTGACATAAGACTTTTTTTTTCCCCCGACTGTGAGAACCGTGTTATAACTTAAGTGTCTAGGTCATGAAATTTCCCTACCATATTAGATAATGGCACTCTGTCACACGGCACAACAAGTGTAATGTCAAAAGTGGCCTTTAGTGCTGGCTCATCCCAGCAGGGGAAGCAGCGCCGGGCATCTGTTGCCTCAAACTGTGTGACGGCAGAGTAGCGCTCCTCACCACTCGCCCTGTGTGAACATGAGTGGAACTTACTATACCTGACAATAATCTACATCATAAATATAACAAGACCAACAGATTATTACATGGCAGAACTACATTAGTGTGCTTCAACAGAGTAAATTGCAGCTTTATTGTACTAAATCTAACATAAACATCAACATATGATAAGTATCTAGTCATTAAAATTAGTACTAGGGATGTACCGATGTCTCGGTATCGGTGGTACCGGCCTATTTTGGGAGTATCGCTATCGGCCAATTTTCAGCTGATACTGCCATTTCCATTATTACACCTACAGTATGGCAGATCTTACCATGAATGAAATACTCTGGAATGCAACTAGCAGTTGTATTTATTTTCTGTAACACATACTATTCCAATCTGGGGTCAATAAACGTATTCATCTTTGTTCATTATACAATATTTATACAAGATGAAACTGAAGTGCACAGAACCTAGACAGTCTGTGCAAACTGATGACTTCAGGGACTTCAATTTTGATAAATGTTTAGACCAGTTAGTGATAGAGGGTGATAGTGAGCGTTCAGACACAATAGTACCAAGATCAATTCCAAGAAGTTCTTTCGGATTAAAAAACACTGTAATAACTTCAATTGTCAGAGCTGAAATGGACAGATACTGTACTAGACATTACAATTGCAAGCACATGAAGGAAATCCTTTAGATTAGTGGAAAACCAAGACGAATATACTGAACCTTCAACATTGTCTCTTTCTTCTCCACAATCATCAGTGGAAAGTGAAGGATTATTCATCAATGGTGGTAATGTATACACTCATGTCTTTAAACTACAATTTGAGACTTTTTAACTATGAATACTGAATACTATTATGGAACTCAAGATCGTGTAAATGTTTGCTTGAAACATTTAATTCCAATCTAAGCTTTTGTGTTGAATTGTTCTAGAAACTGTACCTGTGTATTTTATAATGAGCGTTTTCTAGTTCAAATACTGCCATTCTACTAAATTACTTTCAATTATTTGCTAAAATGGAATAAGATTTGAAAATATACGTTATTTTTGTTCAAACTTGGTGGTACAATGTATCCTTATGTAAGTTAGTACAGTAGTAAGGTTACTACTGTCTGTGTTTTACCTACAGATATTTTACATTCCAAATAAAATTAAGGTTTCTGTCGAATCAGCCGATCATATCTCATACATATAGTTAGCTGTCTTTAAGCTTTCCTATTATTTTTAAATAATTTTTATTTTTCTATTAGTATCGGTATTGGCGTGTAAATGAGTATCGATCGGCAAAAATTTGGGTATCGGTACATCGCTAGTCAGTACACGAGTCATAATGGTAAGCTAAATTATTTCTGAAATAGGAGGAACACAGATGTAAAGTACAATGGCATCGTTAACTTAACAATCACCACAATAGATTCCCCTTATTAAAATAAAGTGCAATAGTAGTACATTAAAAGAACCAAATGCCAAAAGCTCACAAGAAAGTAAGTTCCACTCATCTCACATCACCTTGATACAGTACACTATAACTTTCTGTCCATCATCAAGCTGCTACTTCACATGTGACGTTTACTACATCTCAAACAGCGACTACCCAAGTTCTGCTTCCACAGTTTAGTTGTCTGTTTACGCAATATTAAATTTTTCATATATAAAACCAAGAACACATTGTCACTATTTACGATGCACTGAATAAAATGAACTTTGAAAACCGTGTGATATAAATAAGACTGAATAAGTCCGAGTATTTCACCGTGGAAAATAATTCCGTATAATGTATATCTATTGAGAACCATTAAGAGTTATCTAAAAATGTGTATCAAATTATCCTATGGAGACTAATTTATAAGAGATCCAATCCATCAGGCATCTTTTCTAACTTCTTGGAGAGGGAGATTCTTAGTAAAATAAACATCAAACATCTACAGTGCAGTAATTACAATCTACAACTAAATACTGTTATATTCAATCTACTCGTGTGAATTTTGTTAAGGTTTCATATCTTCATTTGCTTGATAGTAGGGTAATGTGCCACAGACTACCCAACATAGAACACACATTCACCTCATTTCTCTAGAACCGTGGTGAGATTTTTCCGAGTGGAACTTACCATATTGTTCAAGGCCACACAGTAAGAGGGGACAATGAGAGTGACGGTAAATAAAGCCCGGAAGTCACAATCATCCCAGCAAGGGAAACATTGGCAAGCATAGTTGGTACCTGACTGTATGATAGCCATGTACCTCTCCTCACCCGTGGCTCTGTTAGGCCCCGTAGTAACTCAGGATTATTGGTGGCACTATTTGCTCATGTACCATAATACTAAACAGGCATCCCTCGAGTTACAGAAAGGTTACATTCCTGAACAACTGTCTGTAACTCGAGCTTCTGTACCCCGAGGGATATCTGTACCTCAGCTTTAAATTGCAATACTGAAACTTGTGGGCATGAAACACCTTAAATTATTACCATAGATAAATTTGGTCGAGTACAAATTGCCCATATTATACAGCCAAGCTAATAATCACATTACACCACTGGAACACAATGTATATTTAAAAATTCATACCAATATTGTACACTGAATATTTCTTCTACACCTTTTTTCACTCCAATTCAACATTATATCGACAAAATTTGATGTTTTGTATTGTAATTATCTGTTTGCAAAGTGAAACAACATTCTCAAATGAAATAACAACTGACCGGTCTGAATTGGAAAACAATCATTTGATGCGACATTTATATTTTGAGTGCGTCAGTTTTCACATGAATTACATAAATATACACAAGATTTGACAAATGTAAATTGATTTAGCCTTACTGCAAATGAAATCTAAAGAAGTAAAATGTGTTGTTCCCAAATTTCTGATGTCTTAAATAATCTAACAAGGCAGTTTGCTGTCTCAGGGTGTCTGAAAATGTTATTGGAACCTGTACATCATACTTTTCTGTGATTGGTTACTCCGTTTAAGCCGAGGCAATGTTAGAGACAGAATTATCCATGTTTCCTCACTTCACTAGAACAAGGCGTACAAGCGTGTTGATGAGGAGGACAAGGAGCGTCTTGTGGACAGTTACTTGACAGGTGAGGACTACTGAACTCTGGCTAGATGGCTGGACATAAAAAGGACTACAGCCTGGAGTGTTAACAAGATATATGTCCAGACTGAGAAAACTACAGCCATTACAAGAGGAGAATGGATGATGACATGATGGACTTCTGTATTAGGGTCTTGGAGGCCAATCCCATGATCACTCTGCAGACACTCAACTCCAAAATTCACAAAGTCATGTCAAACAACCTACACACTCCACCGGGCGTTTCATCTGTCTCTCATTACTTTGAAAAAGGTGAAGAATTTACCCATGAATGTAAATAAAACACAAGAAAAATCTTTAAAAATCGTAAGTAGCTACAGTATATCCTACAAGTTTGATTTTGTTTCTTAAAATATATACTCACTCCAAAAATTATCTTTACAGAAGGGTCCTATGAATATCACAATGAACACCACGACTCCTGTTGTCTCGGTAAGGTTGTCAAAATCCTTTGACCGTTGTGTCATAATGTCTCACACAAAATCGTAATGATACTTTTTGGAGCGAGAGTACCTACAGTATGGTGCTCTACATTCATAAATGTGGTCTTATGAAAGAATACATTTCTTATAAACAGACTTGTGTAAGAGAGCTAGTGTAATATTGTACAAGTACTGTATAATACTTTAAGAAAGTGAATATAGTAATTATAAAATTTCCCTATCTGAACTCACAGATGTGTGGAGTGGATGTTTCAAATGGGATTTATGACACACTGAGTCTATGTCGAAGAGAGTGGGTTAATCTGTATACCCCTCAAGGTCATGAGAACAGAGCACTGAAGGATATGGGCTCCTAGAATTGTTTGGAGACAGCAGGGAAGAAAAATGTTACTCATCATAGCCATCAGTGACCAGGGAGGTGTATTTACTATGAAATTTCCTGAGGAGGAAAAAATAGTGATAGAACCCACGATTTTTTTAGAAAACCTCAGTGTAGTGCTGGGGATGAGAGAGTTGTCATAATGATGGACAATGCTCCAGCACACAACAATGTGTGAAAACCCTGTCAAGAAGCTTACCCCATAAAGCCCTTTCTTGAATCTCATTGAGAAGTGCTTCTCTAAAATGAAATGTGATGTAAAGCAGCGACTGAATGAAATTCAAGAGTTGTTAGATGATGGCGTAGCAGCTACAGCTGCAGATCACACCATGAAGTCATGGAGGGAGCACCATCTGCAGCAGATAACAGAGTTGGTCGCGGGCACCATCACCCAGCAAGACACTGCAGCCTACTACAGTCACTCCATGACATTCCTACAGCAGTGCCTAGCAGAGGAGAATGTTTAGGATGGCTAGGATGTGAGCCTCCAATGGCCAACACAATTGCTATACAGTATATATATACAGATATAATATATGTAATAAAGATTCATACTGTTTACTGGAATATCAGTGACACTGAGGTATTAAAGAAAATGGTGAAGTCTATTGACTGTAACCCCCATTTAAGACTCTGACAGAAAACATTTTAAAGTCTCTAATCATGATTTATGACTCATTTTCACCACATAATGTATATATTTAATAAGACTTTAACAGAAACTGTACTACAACGCAACAATTAATTTATGTTTCCTTTAAGCCAATGGCAGTTTATCCTAAAAAATGTTGTTTACGATGGAGAAATATCCACTTTGGATCACAAGTGTCCATTCATGGCTGTATTTGTCAAATCTGTTTAGTTATACTGTACTATATGTCACTTTAGCTGGGACTTTGCCAATCCAAATGTTATATGTCGAAAGTTTTCTTTAAGTCAAAAAACCTATTCTATGATTTTTCATGCAGTACATCTCACTTCAACATGAGAAATTTTGAAATAAAATTAAAATTTTCAAACATTTCATTGACTTGCCAATTTTTATTGAAAAAAAACAAACATCAATTTTGAGTGAAAAAAGGTGTG